GTAAACGCGTTTGTGAAGCCTTTGCTGATGTGACTGTGGACGACGAGTGCTTGGACTTGCCGCTTGATGGAGTGCCTGATGCACTTCTTCAATCTGCGATGTCAGTTAGTGTACACCAGTGCAGATGCGGCAGCGTCCGCGTCCCATGAGGTGGCAAGCGAAGATTCATGCTCGGAAGCTTCTGGTCCTGACGCAGCCCAATCAGATGCCAAGGAGCAAGAAGGTGCCAAAGCTCCGATCGGCTTAGATTATTTGCAAGATGCAAAGCCGGCAAGGCTGTTCGAGGCAATGCAGGCAAAATTGAAACTTTTGCAGCAGGAAGCATACCGACTGGTTCGGGCTTTAGACCAAAGAAGCGTGGACAGCCCAGATGTGGAAGCTGCTGCTGGCGAGGAGCGAGTAAGGCATGTCGTCGTTGGTTTGCAGGAGACAGTCAGGCAGCTTCAAAGAAGCAAGCCCGCGCTTTTGGAAGCATCGGTTGTCGCTGAACTGTCCACGGCGGTGAAGATACCTGGTCAATCAGCGCTTTCTTGTTCCGACCCTTTGACATGGCCTTCTTGTTTTGTGGAAGTCTTTTACGGAGACTGTGTGCCCAATCTGCCCGATCGTCCAAATCCGAATGTAACGTACCAAGATCTCTTCAGCGCCTGGGTGCAAAGAGAAGAGCTGCAGTACAATTTAGAAACCGACACCGCGCCGTACCGCGCTAAGCTCAGATCGAGGTTTGATACTCCCGAGTTTGTAGCGTGTTTTGCCGACACTGTCAGGCGTCTGAAGACAATGCAAATGGTGTCGGCTGCGTTTCGGAGACCGGGATTCGAGCAGGATGTCAAATGCATATCTGAAGCCAAGACGGAAGATTTTCTTCAAGCTGCAAAAGCTACCGTGGCTCCTTCTGCGAGTTCTCTATTGCGCAGCAATGCCGTGCCAAAGACAGTGCAGACAGCCCTGAGGCACCTCATGTTGCACACCGCAACTGTGCCGCTAACAGACGGCTATCGGGCTCGGCTCAGGCACTTCGGACACGCACTAAATGTTGCTTTCGGCCCTCTCACTACATTCACTACTCACAATTACGCTGACACGCAGTCGCCTTTGATTGCGCGGCTTTCTGGGTGTGATCAGCAGTGTCGTGACAGGGCGCTTGGTCAAACCTCCCACGGTTTCGTGACTTGTCCAGAGCCCTGTATGCCGACCTTGAAACATATGCACATTACTGTGGCTTCTAGCCCACGAGCAACTGCAAAGTACTTTCTTTTGATGGAAGAGCTGACCTTCAGGCATCTGCATGGCATTGACAAGATTGTCCTAGGCTCCCATCGTGTCAGAGCTGCTTCAGGTTTTTTTGATAGGGACGATGACTGGGCATCGAGTGCTACTCCGGGTTTGAGTGGAATGGTTGTGGCCGCTTTCGAGCCGTTGGAAGCGCAAGGTCGCGGATTTCAGCATGGACATCGAAAGGTGCGCGGCCGTCCTGCCGGCATCGTCCAACTGTGGAAATCGCTCATGCAAAACATGTTGTCTGCAGAGCACTGCGAAGATGAACTCCGGTCATCTGTGAAGTCCCGCAACGAAAACTTGCTTCAAGCTGTTTCTTCCGTGCAATACGAGAGTGCACTGCTTCCTGCGAAGCAATTCGGCATAAATCTCTCTCCGGAGCCCTTCTCCCTTCGACAACAACAGCAAACCCGATTTGACGGTATGCTGGAAAAAGATGGCAAGACATTGCGACCACGGATGGATGTGGTGCCTTCAGAGCCTTTGGCCCACATAGTGCGTGGACATCGAGCTGCCGCTCTCGAGCAAAGAGAGACTGCCACGCTGCCCTTGACCGGCTCCCAACTCGCCAGCCTGCCGCATTACCGTCTGCCGCAACGCAAGGGGTCCATCGTTCCGCTAGAAGACGGCTGTTGCAGCCGTGAACATGCCTCCCAGCAGCCAGGGCCCTGGCCGTGTCTGGCAAACGAACGTGGTGAAGCCCTCGCATTGCTGACCCATGCAGGCACGCCTGCCACGCTCGCAGATGTTCTGCAAGATGCCCAGCATTGGGAAGCTTCCTTCGTGAAAGACTTTCGGTTCCTTGATTGCCGCACTCATACACACGAATGTAGCAGCACGTGCTTGAAAAAAAATCAAACAAACTGTAGAAGCAAAGGTGAACATGTTGAAAAAGCAGGCGGCCCCACCTTGCCGTTTTCATTTCTTGCACGTAGGGCCGTGAAACTGGAAGAGAATGGTCGTGAAATCTGGCGGCGACTGCGACGCAGAGGCAAATGCCTCGTTGAAGCAGCGCGTCTGATGATGCCGGAATCAGCTTCCGACTACGGCCTTGTGGAGGTTGAGCGCTTGCATCCGTTTCGCAGCGCAAGCAACGATGTTGCGATGGTGTGCTGTCGGTGTAACGTTGACTTTCGTTGCATGCTGCGAGGTGTTCCTGATGACAAGGAACTGCAGTTACAGTTGCGTAAAAGCTCAGATGAGGTAGCTGCAAATTTGCACATTCCCTGCGAGTATCTCAACAGCTCCCTGCTTCGCAGCTTCGCGTACAGTGTGATAAATTTGCACGTGGCCGCTCACGCTTGTGACTATTACATAACGAAATATAAGGCAAAGCCGATGGAGCAGTTGCAGAATGTTGTCACACAATTTGCGGCATCCGTCGACTTGAGCACGAGGAGGCTGAATCTGGCCAGTGCCAGCAAGTCGTCCCGAGCCAGCGTGCTCGTCGAGTTTGCCTTCGCATGGCTGCAGCAGCGAACAGGTGTTCCTGGGTCTCATCCACTGAGCTTGCCACCGCTCTCATGACAGGCGCTCATTTCTGGTCCACGCATGCTGATGTCCCACTCTTCACTACCCGACCGACGTTCATCATGCAGCAGTGCCAGCGACTGCTCCAATTCCGAGGAGAAAATAATTTGCTCGAGCCAGCGACTGTGTCCTTGGAGTTTTTGGAAGTCACGAGTGCTGAACCAGCAGGACAAGTGCAAGAGCCGGGCACTGTTCCTGCAACTGACTCTGAATCCACTGCTGCTGACTAACCAGAAGGACTTGGCCAAGTATGACAGTCGCTTGTTGCGCAGAACCACCAGCCTGCATGATGACTACTTGCATCGCGGATCTTTTCTACGAGCGCTGGACTTCTACACGTACGCAGCACGTGTAAAACGAGTGCGGAAACCTCGGACGAGCACAACTAGACCGGTTGCAAAGCATCTCTTTTTTATGAGGCCCATTATCCTCTCGCAAAGCTGTATTGTCAAGACATTCAAGATCAAATGGTTGTTCCTCGACTGGTTGGCGGAGACTGTCCTCCCGTGGACCACGTGGAAGAACATGCCCGGTTTAAGCATATGCTCTTCACACCTGTTCTTTGCCCAGGTTCCACAGATTGCACCAATCCATTGAATTTTGCCGGCACGCTCTCACGATCAACAGAAGAGCACGCTTTGCTCCAAATTGGCACGCGCAGTGTGCGCATATCCGCGTGGAACTGGCACGGGCAACCGCAAAGCTGCCCGCTCTGTGCAAACTTCCAGTCGTAAAGCACACGAGCCTGTGCCGCAGCTGGTGGCCAGCGGAACAAGCAATGAACTGCCGGAGTTGCCAAACTCCAAGACGCGTTTTTTCTTGCTGTGGGCCACTGCAAATCAGCTTCTTGTCACGAAGCATGGAAGAATCACAGGTCACATTCTCTCTTGCTTGTGCGAGTACCTTGGAATTCCGTGTGGTTGTCATCCTGCACAGCTGCACATTGAAGAGTTTGTTGCTTTAGAAGCAGATGAAGTCAGCCGCAATTTCAACCTGCAAAGTCTTGCGAAGTCAAAACCCTTGAAGAACGCACCTCCTGAGCATGCTAATGTCCGAGAGGAAGATGACAGTGATCAGCTGGACGTGACAAGAGAAACCAAAGCTCAAGTCGATGTCGTTGTTGGTGAGCTGGAGTCTGATTTTGAAGACATGGATGATCTGTATCAGGCTGCCGTCCCGGAAAGTCCACACGTGCAATTTTCCTTGGAACAATGCAAGAGCATTCTTGCCCGTTCAGAGGAAATTGAGCGATGCTCTCGCAAAGGCCGCCATCGCGAAAGCGACATGCAGATGAAGCAATTTGCTGCAGTCTTTGGAGGCAGCCTGCAAATGCCACAGTCGCAAGTCCCGTCTCGGGAATCATCGCACTATAGCCTCAGCCTGCGCTATGACGTCGGCCGTTTGTCCTTGTACCGAAATGCAATGGCCAAGTTGCTTCGCAAAGATATTGACCGACACGACACATCTCACGAAACAATTGCGGCGAACTTGCCTGCAGATGTAGCGGTTGCAGAGTTGTCCGCATTGCTGGGCAGAAATGACCATCGTGAACGTCTCGCTGCCACGGTCGTGCCATTGCCGGATGCTTGGGGGGACCTGCCCACGTAGCCAAGCTCCTCATGACCCCGTTTCCTTTCAACGACGAACAAGTTGACATCTTAGCCACTCTTGTGTGGCCTTTGGAAGAAGCCTGGCGTGCCAGACCGGATCCTGATTCCATCAGTCTTCCCATAGATAAGCCCTTGGTCGGGCCCTTCTCTGTGGCGGCGGAGGTTGTGGCAAGACCACCATGATCTTGAAGGTTTTGAAGCCACTCATGGAAACTTTTTTCCAGAAGACGGTGGCTGCGTGCTCGCAGCCCCAAGCAACAAGGCAGCAAGACTAATTGGAGGAAAGACTTTGCACAATCTTGGTAGCTTTTCTGTCTCGGACTCTCTGAAAACATTTGCAATCAAGTTTTCGTCGCACGCGCAGCGCAAGAAAGTTGATGCTGCCATCGGACGGGCTGGGGCTCTGTTAATAGACGAATGGACTGAGCGCCCGCACGTCCGCCGCGGCTCTACAAGAACTGCTCTTTTACTGCCAAGCAGTTGACACCGTTGACCAGCCTTGTTCACGGGAGTACTACAAGCAGATGCTGCAGGTGGCCAGTTTGTCCACTACGAAACGTATTCCAGGAATCTGTGTCTTTCATGTCGGCGTGCGAATTCGACTCACCGCAACTGTGTTGCCTCCGTGGGCAGTCCAGGACACAACTGGCACGATTGTGGCCGTCGACTTTGCACCGTCTACGAAATTGCCAGACGGAAGCAGCGTCCCGACTGAACTCCTCCTGCAGCATCAACCGCGCGCCATTTATGTCAAGCTCGACGACGTGAACTTGGAATTTTTGCCACCCAGCGTCTGTGCGGCTCATGCACTTGCCGGCTTTTCCGAGACGTCTGACATGTGTAAATGTCATGCTGGACTTGTCAAGCTCACGCCACACACAGTTTGCTGGCGCTTCGTTTCGAGTGATGGGTTTGCGGTGAATGTGCAGCGCACAGGGTTCCCCATTCAGCCGGAAAAGGCTTGTAGTTTGTATGCGTTGCAAGGCACAACCACAGATCCAGGTCTGATTACACATTTTGATGTTCCCAAACGAGCAGGAGCAGATATCCGATTTCTCATTGTTTATGTCTTGCTCTCCAGAGTACGGAACTTGAAGAGCTTGCTTTCCGTGAACCTGTCCGACTCTATCCGCGAGGTCATCGAGTCGGGGCCACCAGATGGTCTCGTCGGAGAGTTTGAGCGCATCTTCGCAGACAAGCTTGCGGCGACCAGCCGAAAAGCCGAAACAGCCCGGCAGGCTTTAGGCTGGAACTAACTTTACTTAAATCCTACATTTGCCCTATATAAACCCAGGCCTACCCAGGAGCCTCTTCAGAGCTTCTTACTTGGGGCCGGGGGTTTAGGGTTAGCTTAGATGGTACGTATGACCTAAACCCTTGCCCTAAACCCTGGGTTAGCTTAAGTCCTACATATGTTGGAGTAGCACGTGGTTTGTTTGGCATTGTGCCTCTGTCCTCGCTGCAGTGGTCGTTTGAGGCTGTTTCTGCAAACGGTTCCTGAGACTGTTTTGATAGTTCCCAGGAGTTGCTTGACGATTCCAAAATTTCTACAGAGCATGTACACACAAACAGACCACGAAGCCCTCCAATACATATGCCCCAAACCCTAACCCGAAACCCCGGGCCCACCAAGGTGCCCTAAATCCTAACTCAAGAACGCTCAAACCTCTTACAG